TATCTACCAACCAGCTTAACCAAAAACCGTACCTTTTATGAGTTTATTTTAGTAGACACCGATTCTGCTGAAATTATTCATAAAAGAAATGAACAAGGTATTATTCAATATTCTAAACTCAAGATTATGAAAGTTCTTTCCTCAGAGGAGTGGAACAACCCTCCTTACCACCTAAAAACCTTCACAAGAACCTTTAACCCCCAAACTTATGACTATTATGACTATATGGATGCTTGGTATAATGCCCTGTATGTATATCCTGAAAATCATTCTTGGTTTATTTGGTTCAAGAAAGGAATTTCCTTAAAATTCCCTAAATGGTTTATAAAATGGTTCTCTCACTTCGGACCTCTTCCTGCTATCTTTCCCTCAAAAGTCACAGAAATTTATAATTATTTTCGTCAAAAAACTTCTTTTGATCAAGGTTATAGACTAATATCCTTCATCGCCACCCAGTCCATAACTTGGATTGTAGCATGGGACTTTACCATTGACCAGATGTATGAAAATGCTGATATAAAGGTATTGTCACGACAATTCAAAATTAAATGGTGGAAAAAGTTCAACTTGGATATTATTAATAAACAAAGAATCGATATATGGCAAGCCAACTACCAACAGAGACAAGAAGGAACTTCTTCATCCTTAACTCAAGAGTCATTATTCTTAGCTGAAAAACAAAAGTTGATGGCAGAGTTAGCCTCCGCATCAAGCCTAGAAGAAATGGAGAAATTAATAAAAGAAAAGTCAATATCAAAAACTCCATCTGAAGACAGCAGTGGATATTCACAAGCCTTCAATATGTTCGATTGAGACAACTGGCAAAAGACAAATGTGTCAACGACAAGATCCATAAAAGAAGATTTGAAGAGATAAAAAGAAAAAGCATGAGAATGACATAAAGAAAATAAGACAACGTTCGTGACAAGACAAAAAAGAAAAAGAAAGAAGAAGACAATTATGATAAAGTAGATTCCCCGAAGATAAGATAAGGGATAGTAATGTAAATAGAAATAAGGATAGTTTTGTAAATTTCCTAGTATCCAGAATGATGTACATAGGTTATAAATAGCCTCTTCAGTTAGAGAAGAAGGCAGAGCGAAAATAAGCATTTTCTTTGTACTCTGAAGTTTTCTAATGAAGTTTTCAATTTTCTTCTATGTAAGTCTTCTTATTCCAGAATCATTTCCTTTATTTTCCTTTCTTTCTTCCAGTATATATATATATATATATATATATATATATATATATATATATATATATATATTTATATTTATATATTTATATCTTTATATATTTATAAAATCTATATATACAAATATATTTATATATTTTAATATATATTTAAATATTAATATATCTACATATCTATATATTTATATATTTATGTATTTACATGTTTATATATTTATATATTTATATATTTATATATTTATATATTTACATATTATATATTGATATATTTATATATTTACATATTTATATATTTATGTATTTACATATTTATATATTTACATATTTATATATTTATATATTTATATATTTATATATTTATACATTTAAATATTTAAATATTTATATATTTAAGAAAAAAATTAAAAAATTAAATATTAAATTTTAAAATAATATTTTATTTTTAAAAACAAATATTAGAAAAAGGTTTAAAAATATATAAAAATTAATTTTACATGTACAAAATATTAAAGATATATATTTATATCTTTACATATTTATATATTTATAAATTTATATTTTTATATATTTAAGAAAAAATTTAAAATATAAATTTATACACAATGAAAATAAATTATAAATATTATAATATAATGGTATATTAGTATAGTATAGTATATTTGTATTCTAATTTTTAATTAAACTAAAATTATGCTAATAATGTATAATAATATATGAAGGGATAATAAATTTAATCCAATTACTTATATATATATATATATATATATATATATATATATATATACATTTTTAACTTTTTTTTCTTTTTAAACTTCTCACATTCTACATTGTTTTTAAACTCTATCATTTTAACTTTATTATCATCCTCTTTCCTCTCACATTCTATTTTATCTTTATAATAATTAGTCTTCTTTTATAGAGTACTTCATTTTTTATTTTTATTATTTATTTTCTTATAATTTAAAATAATTAATATTATTTTAAATTTTTTTTTATGATTTTTACTATAATAAATCAAATTAAATGGTTTGATAATATCAATTAATTAAAATCATCACATAAAAAACTTAGATAACTACATTAAAATTATTAATTTTAAAAATATAAAATATATTTAAAGAAAACTCAAATTATAGATTGGAAATAAAATAGAATAAACAAATGTTCTTTACTTTATATTATATTTAAGTGTGTGCATAAATGTTGACCTTTTTAACTATAAAGAAAAAGTAGAAAAATATAAAGATAGTATATGAAGAAGTGAATTTTGAAGATAAAAACTATTTTTATATAAATTTATTCTAGTGTATCAATTAACCATAATAATATATAAAATTTAAAAACTAAACTAAAAAAAGTAAGTTTAAATTTATAAAAATACATTACTAAAAGTATCATATTATATTAAGATTTTCATTATTTTTGTTAATTATAAATTTAAATCTGTTTCATAAATAAAATTATAAATTTAAATGTATTTCCACTTTTGATCTATCATAAATAAAAATAAATACTCTCTTATAAATGTTTTTCTATTTTAATTCATCATTAAATTTGTTTTATATACGAATTTGATGACTTATCATATTATTAAAAATTTGGATGAAATAATTATGTATAATATTTTTTTAGTATATTATGTTTTTAAATTTGCTAATAGAGAAAAAGTTTCAGATTTCAAAATGTTAAATACTTTTAAATATTAAAATTGACTTTATAAAAAATTAGGAAAAAAATTAATCCAAAAATATAATAATGATAAAAATATTATAAAAAAGAGTTCAAAAATGTATTTAATATTTTCAGTTTTAGTTTAATTATATTTTTAATTCTCAAAGTAGAAAAATATATTATAATTATTTTAATTTAATAAAATATAATTTAAATTTTTAATACTAAAATTAAAATATTAAATAATAAATTTAATTCTTTAAATTTAGTATTTAAAAACTAAAATTATAGTTTCTCTGTTTTAAAAAATTAAAATAAATATTTAAAAATAAAAATAAAAACTAGTATTATCTTAAATTTATTAAAAATATAATTAAATCTCTATTTTCTTATGCAATTTTAGAAATTTTTTAATAAAAATCCAATATATAAAAAAGTTGAAATTTTAAAAAGGTACAACCTTAATTTATATTAACTATTTTTTTGAAAAAACTGACAAGAAAAACTTGGCTTTGAAAAAAAAAAGTTAATAATTTTGACATAATTTAAGTGATGAAATTTCCAAATATGATCTATAAATTTATTGAGAAAAATTGGAGGTATGTTAAATATAAATTTAAATATATTTTTAATTTATTTAAATATGATTTATTTTTAGTATTTATAAAATAGATTAATTTTAAATTTTTAACTTTTCTAGCAGTCTATTTTTAATCTTTGTTATTAATTATGTTAAAAATGAAAATATTAATTAGTATACTTAAACTAAAAAATATTTTAACTAAAGATAAATATATTTTTATTAATAATTTAATTAAATAATATATTTATTATCTAATGTATATTGATATAAATTTTTTTTGTATATCAATTATATGACAACAACCATGGTTAAGTAATTAATAATAATAAAGCAATAAATTTAAAAATTAGATTAAAAATAAAGTATTATAAAATAAAATTGTAATAATTTTATTAAAATTATAATTTTTTAATTAAATTAATTAGGAATTAAAATGTGATAATTTGATGTGTTTAATTTTTTAATATAAATTTTTAAAATATAATTTAATTTCAATTGAAATTTTCAATTGAAAAATAAATTAAAGAATATTTGTTATTAAAATTTTCTTAAATAATGTATTGAATAGTTAATATCACTCTAGTATTAATTTATTACAATTTAAATTTTTAATAAATTTTATTTATTTTTAATAATATTTTTATTTTAGTAATTTAAAATTAAAGTTAATCTTTATTTTATTAATATTGAGACCAAAGTTTATTTTTAAAGTATATTTGAAAAATTAAATTATTTTTCAAAAATAAATTACTTTTAAAAAGTAAATTGTAAAAAATATACAAAAACAATTAAAGTATATTTATAAAAAAATAAATTTAAATATAATAAAAAAAATATTCATTAGCGACCGATTTTAATTCGGTCGCTATTTTTTCATTAGCGATTGATTTCAATTCGGTCACTATTTAAATTTGTGATTCGGTCGCTAAATCGATCGCTAAATGATTTTTTTATTGTAGTATGGAATAGTCACCGATTTAGCGACCAAAATTTTGCGACGCAAACTATTGATCACTATTTCGGTCTCTAAATAAAAAGTGAAACAAAATCATATTTCGGTGGCTAAATCGGTCGCTAAATTGCGACCGAATTAACTCAGATCCTAAATCGGTCGCTAATTGTGACCGAATTAAAGCGATCGCTAAATCGGTCGTTAAATCGGTCGCTAATTGCAACCAGAAAAAATTTGGTCGCTAATTTCGGTCGCTAATTTCGGTCGCTAAATGTGTTTTTTCTTGTAGTGATTTGTATATTTATAATTTTAATTTCTTCAAGAGTTTAGATATTTAAATTTAACTATCTATTAAATTTGTGTTGATATAAATAAAATATTATATAAATAATTTTAAATTTACTTAAATTTTTCTAAAAGCTATTAAAATAAATAATTAAATACACGTTAACAAGAAAGTAGATAATAAATTTTTTATTCTCTCACGTTTTTTGTAAATAAATATACGAGTTACATATCACGCGTAAACCATGCATTCATTATTCTTCATAAATTAACTTCTTGAAAAGCTACATAAGTTCCATCAAGTAAACCATGCATTCATATTTCTTCATAAATTAACTTCTTGAAAAGCTCCATAAGTTCCATCTGAAAGTGTATAGTCAGAACTATAGAACCATCACCATCTAGACTTCGAAAAAGTATTACCCTATCTTGTGTAGCCATATTCGCTACACCAAAATGCACAGGCTTTCCCCAACCAAAATCTGCTTCATTCACAGGCATACTCATCCAACTTGTAATAAGAAGATTAGGGTTCCCATAAAACAAGGCATTCTTACCTTCATTTGATCCAAAGTATAAAGCCCTTGCACTATCCACATCCTTCTGACCTCTAATGACATCTATCTATTAAAAAATAAAACATGTTATCAGTGTCAAACTTAAATAAATACCATATGCATGATTTTATATTTTTATTTATGGATGACATAAAAATTGAACTAAACTAAACTAGTACTTAAAATACATTAAAAAAAATTGAAATGTTTTGAAAAAAAAATTGAAATACTCTATACAAAATAGTTTAAACTTCACTTTACTGTAACTTATGAATTTGGACTACACACTTTAAAATAGTATAATTTAAACAATTTATGTAATTTAAATAATTCGGAACACTTCATTTTAGCCCTAATTATAAAATAGTTCAGTTCACCTAAAAAATTATGCAATTTAGAACAATTTGGTAGTTCAATTTAAAATAATTCAATTCAATTTATTTATTTTGGCTGCCTACATTAATAATTTAAGCCTTTTCCGTAAAATAAGAAGAAAAAGTTGGAAAATAGTGACAAAGGAATAGATATAGGGGTTAAGGCTACCAAAAATTTGGTTCTATATACCTGTGAGCCTATATACTCTTGTGTAACCGCTTCAATTGCTTTCCTTATTTTCTGAGCAACATGACTCAGAGAATTTGATAAGATTTCTCCAACATGTGATGATGTTGCGGTTAAGGACAGAGCATTCCCAAAGTAGTTCCTAGGGAGAGGTGGAGTTATTCTATTTCGAATATCAACATTGAACCGAACTACAGTTGGTTGATTCTCCTCTAATCCACGAGCCTTACATGCACATCTCCATACATGTGCAGCAATAGCTTCAAATCTGCTAAAAGGTCTTGACCCTTGTTTTCTTGATTCATCATCATTGGCCTTGTTCTTCAGCCTCTCCACTTGTTCTGCTGTCAGCTTCAACATGGTGGCGATTACCTTCTTGTTTTTCTCAACAGTATTGTCACATCTTCCTAATATGAGAGGCAAAGGCTTGTACTCTAGGTGATCAAAGCGTGGTGGTGACGGAGGGGATGTGACTTTGAGCACAGTTCGATCCAAAAAGGGCATTTCATGAGGCTCTAATGTGTCTCCACGAGCCAACTTTGCCCATGAATTGATGAACTGAATGGCAGCAAGACCATCATACAAAGTATGACTTATAGCAACTCCAACGGAAAATGCTTCATCACCAAGGAAACTTGTCACTTGCACTAGTAACAAGGGAAGCTCCTCAAGTGGTGTGTTTGTGTAATCAGCTATAGGAACCAAGTCCATGATGGACTCGCCCAAAAAGTCGCCATAATCATGCAATGATTTTGTGGATTCTGCTTCAATCAACAGCACCCCTTTTGCATTGCAATTCAATTCCAATCTTCCACCTTCTTCTATCCTTCTCAATCTACCAGCTAACGGATAGTAGTGGCACAAAATCTTGCTAAGAGAGTTTCTCATCTGTTTAATTAATGTATCATGGTTGTGCTTTGCATCAAAAACGTAAATGGTACGTGGGTGATACAGACGCGCAACTTGATCAATATCAGACAGCCATAGAAAGCCACCTGGAGTAGGTTTCTTTGGAAGTATGGTGTAAGATGCTTTGATGGTTACCATTTTGTGAACGGTTTCCTTTTGCAGCTAGCACAAACAAAAGTAATGAACTTTTATAGTCACGAGTCTTCCAGAGCACATTAAATAATATTTTATACTACTAAACGTGTAATAATGTGAGCCATTCAATTTTAGACTAACATTAAATATATATATATCGACCTATGTCACATCAATTTAAATCATATTTGTAACTAAAATAGAAAGCACAATTGAAATATAAATATGCATGGAAAAAAATAACAACAAATTACATTTCATCAATTACTTAATTTCTTTTTTTAAATATTAAAATTTTGAAGATTTTCAATTTTATTTATCTATAATTTTTTTTAGTGATTTGTCATAAGTATTTTCTGGGTCCAATAGGTCAGAAGAAGTTTCCTATATTTTGATTATGTAAATTGGACGAGTTTTTGTAATTAATGAAAATTGAATTACATATATTATTTGTGAGTACAAAATGTCCGCCCACTGTATTCATCCATTATATAATTTATTTATAATAAAGATAATATTAATTATTATTTTTATTTAATACATTTTTCATATAATTTTTAATATATATATATATATATATATATATATATATATATAAAAGAAGGTAAAGTATATTTTATTTATTTATATTTATTAAAAGTTATATTAGTTTAATTTTTATAAAATGTAAATATGGTTTTTTATTTAATTTTTTCACTAAAAATTTAACATGTGATAATTAAAAAAAAACAGTTAGTTAACTTTATTTAATATTACTGATTTTATTTACAACAATCGTAATTATTTTTTATTATTTGTTTTTATTATATATAAAAATAGAAAATAAATCCTTTACTTTTTTATTTATTTCACTTTCCAACCATGAGAACGGTTGTATGTTCACAGGAAACCATTATAAATTTGGTGAGATATTAAATAACGTTCACATGAGCACTGCTACGTCATATGGATTAAAAAATAATAGCAAATTATTAAAAAAACAAAAATTAATTAAAATGTTTTTTAATTTATTTACTTTTTTTTGTTAAACCTTTATTCAAATTTTAAATTAAAAATTAGAAATAAAATAAAACCAAATGAAACCATTTTTTTTATATTTAAATATAATATTATATTTAAAATAATTATAAGTTATTTTAAAATTTTATTATATTTTAATAAAATAATTACTTAATTATTAATTAATAAATATGTAATTATAAATTATTTTATAATTTGATCATATTTTATTATAATATATTTATGTTTTAGATATAGTATAATAGTTTTATATTTAATTTAATGATTATTTAATAAAAACAGAATCAACTTAAACCAATATGTTCAGAGTGAACACTATTTCAATTGATATGTTTTATTCATAATAATTTTTAATTTATTTTTAATTTATATTAAAATAAAATATTTTCTTCATAATAATTTTTCTAAATCATTTTACTGGATTAAATTCAAGTTAATTTTTAGTGAAAGTATAATCAGTATACATTTGAAATACTATAAATGACAGGAATTGGTTGTTTGAATTAAAAGATCTGCAATCGAATTTAATATTGGAAAACACTGTTCCAACAACTGCGTTTCATCAAACATCAATATTATTAAATAGGAGTGTAGGAATAATTGTTTGATTCTAAATCAGGCCACCACTACTCTTTAATTTTATTGATGTAACTTCCAACCAACAATAAAGGAAGAAGACAAGGAATATTTATAGTAGATTTAATTTTGAGGGATTGGTTAGCCTTACTACCTCCAGCTGGTAAAAATTGGATCAGCTCATTTTTTCAAAATTATTTGCATATTAAAATAAAATAAAATATGATATAAAAAATATTATATTTTTTATATTATTAAAATATATAAATTTGTTATAATATTATAATTTAAATAATAAATATTAGTTAATTAAGTTTAAATTAGTAATTATAATTATTTTTTTAATATACAAATATAATTAATTTATTTAATAAAAATTTTATTAATAAATAAAAACTTAAAATTATTTATATATTTAAATATGTATTTTTAAAAGATATATATACAAATTATATATATAAAAATATTTACAAATTGATCTATTAAAATATTATTTAATGGAGGAATCTAAAATTTACAATTCTTCGTGGGATTATACTGTCTTATTTTTGAAATATCAGGTGGTGGGACATTGTGATTAATATGAAAATTATAAATATTGTAATAAAAGTAATTATTATGATTATAAATATAAATTATAATAAAAATTATAAATATAAAATATATATAATTATTAAAATAAGATAAAAATATATAAAACAAATATTATTTAAAATTTATGTAATTAATATGAAATAAAAAATATTATATATTTTATAAAAAATAATATTAAAAAATTAATCTTAAATTTTCAATTTTTATTTTAATTTAGTTAAAATTTTATTTTTTTAAAAATAATATACTAATTTTAGATCGGTTTTCAATTATTTTCAAAAATATTACACAATTTTATTATTTTTTAAAAATTTAACAATAAATTTTATTATAATATTTCGTTTTTTTTTACTTTTAAAAATTATTATTTAAACCTAATTTCTATTATTTTAAAATGTGAGTTGCTTTTTTAGTCGTGCTTTAAAACCTAACTTACGTCACATTATTTTTATTTTATTTTTTCAAACTTTCCTCGTTACATAAAAAATTTAACCATAATAAGAAATAAAATAAAAAAGAAAAACCTTAATTGTGGAATCAACTGCTTCAACACCATATTTAACATTACATAATGGAAAACGATCTTTCTACAACCGGTTTCCAAACGTCCATTTGAAAACTGAGGTCAAAATGTGAATTGTTTAAAAATGAGGGTGTGATTTGTAATTTAAAAGAGTGATAGATGCAAAATTGTTAAAATGGAGACATGGAGAATCGCTTGTCACTCTCTCGTCTATTTTGTGCGAAATGGAATTCCTCTCCTAAAAGCATCTCCAATGCAAGGGTGCCTACAAAAATGTTGGATGCATTGATGTAATGTTAGAAACTGAATTTTTACTGATATAAATAAAACTGAATTCGTTGTTTTTATGGTGGCTTTTTTCATAAATAATATTATTTTTAAAAATATTTTTCAAAATAGCACATCTGGAACATTATTTACACAACTAGCACTCTTTACTGTTCACGTATTAAAATAATCAATTATTTTATATTATGATCGATTATTTCGCGCAATCAACTCTCGCTCAGCGAAGAAACCCTTCGCTTGAGCGAGAAATCTGTAACAAAGGGGTAATCTCGAGTCAATTCTCGCTCAAGCGAAGAAACCCTTCGGCTGAGCGAGGAAATCTGTAACAAAGGGGTAATCTCGGTCAATTCTCGCTCAGCGACGGGTATTTTCGGCTGAGCGAGAAGTGATTAAAATATGTGGTGACCCAAGTTGCGTTATGTGGCTAATTGCGTTGGACGTTTAGCCACAAAATGCAACTTAGGTCACCACATATTTCAATCACTTCTCGCTCAAGCGAAAATACCCGTCGCTGAGCGAGAATTGACCGGAGATTACCCCTTTGTTACAAATTTCCTCGCTCAAGCGAAGGGTTTCTTCGCTTGAGCGAAAATTGACCCAAGATTACCCCTTTGTTACAGATTTCCTCGCTCAAGCGAAGGGTTTCTTCGCTTGAGCGAGAGTTGATTGCGCGAAATAATCGATCATAATATAAAATAATCGATTATTTTAATACATGAACAGTAAAAAGTGCTAGTTGTGTAAATAATGTTCCAGATGTGCTATTTTGGAAAATATTTTTAAAAATAATATTATTTATGAAAGAAGTCTCTCATGGTCACCACCTTCTCTGCACCTTCTCGGCCTCTCGTACTTTTCCACAGTAACATCACTGCCCACATAGCGACATGCAACACATTCTTCCTCCTCCTCCTCTTCTTCTTCTTCTTCTCTTTCTTTTTAGGTATCTTTTACTTGTCCAATTATTTCATTTTCAGATCCTTTTTCATTGGCTAACGGTTCATTTTCTTTTGTGCTATCTTCTTCTTCCATGTCAAAACTTGGAGTGGTAATGATACAAATAAAACTGAATTCATTATTCTCCTTTGAAATAAATCAATTATTGTAGACCCGAAATCTTGCCCGACTCCACAAAAAGATTATGTGGCTAACTGTAGTCAACTGTCACTCAGACGAGAAATCCATCGCTTGAGTGAGAAGTGATTGAAATATATGGTGACCCAAGTTACATAATGTGGCTAACTATGTTGGCACTTTAGTCCGACAATGTGGTCAACTCTCGCTCAAGCGAGAAATCCAGCACTTGAGCGACGAGACCTGCAACAAATGGATATTCTCTGGTTCTATTTCGCTCAAGCGATGAAATTCTCGCTCGAGCGAGAAGTGATTAAAATATGTGGTGACCCAAGTTATATTATTTGGCTAACTGTGTTGAACCTTTAGTTCGACGATGTGGTTAACTCTCGCTCAAGCGAGAAATTCATTGCTTGAGCGACGAGACCTGTAACTAATGGGTATTCTCGGGTTCTATTTCGCTCAAGCGATGGAATTCTTGCTCCAGCGAGAAGTTATTGAAATATGTGGTGACGCAAGTTATATTATGCGGCTAATTGCGTTGGACCTTTAGTCTATGGTCAACTCTCGCTCAAGCGAGAAATCCATCGCTTGAGCGAGGAAACTTGCAACTAATGGGTATTGTTAGGTTCTATTTCGCTCAAGCGATGGAATTCTCGCTTGAGCGAGAAGTGATTGAAATATGCAGTCACCCAAGTTACATTATGTGGCTAACCGCGTTGGATCTTTAGTCTGTAGTCAACTCTCGCTCGGACAAGAAATCCATCACTTGAGTGAGAAGTGATTGAAATATGTGGTGACCCAAGTTACATAATGTGGCTAACTGCGTTGGACCTTTAGTCCGACAATGTTGTCAACTCTCGCTCAAGCGAGAAATTCATCGCTTGAGTGACGAGACCTGCACCAAATTGGTATTCTCGGGTTCTAT